TTTTTTTTTAACATTTACACCATGTCTGTCCTCCTCTGGACCGGTGATGTGTTTCATTAAATACCCGGGGTGACTTAAAAGACATGAAATTGCAAATCGATGACGAGTCATTTAAATATCGACGTTTTTTTCCCCCCTGAAACGGATAAAATACCAGGCTGCGGCCTCTTTACTTGCAAGCACTTCTCTAAACTGGTTAATCGGTTAACGTCTTCTTTCAAGTAAATGCAGGTTGTACTTTTATCCTGCAGTCTGAATGCTGTAATATGCATGTTCCTTGTGGGACAGTCTGCGTTTGCGGGTCATTCTCCTGTTTGGACTTCACATGCAATGTAAATTTTATCACTCGATTATTTGCATTTTGTAATAATGAGTGTGATTCCTTGAAATCCACGCCGAAAGCCTCATCGTTAATATTCAAATGCCGAGGACTTTGTAAAATTCATCACACCCTGTATGTTCTTCTTTGACTGAAAGAAATGGGGTCGCTGCAGGTGAAATCGCCCCCCCCAGGCATGTGACTCCCTCGGAGCGCTGTGGCTGTCGCGGCCTGTCGCTTTATTAATCCCCTCCCATTCACGCTCACCGGCTCCTCTGATTGGTCACTGCTGGAGTGATGCTGCGAGGCCTCCCTGATAACCTCTGAACAAGCCATGGAGATTTCTCTGGTAGAGGCCCGGGGGGGGGGGGTTGGGGGGCGGGGGGGGGGGGGGGGGCGTTTACCTGCTCCATTCAGCCCCCCTTTTTCTTTTTTCCCTTTTTTATTCCGATCTACAAGCAGCAAAATGCTGGCCAGGGGCTCGGGTCACGTTGGCGGACGCGTGTGAGATTCCCCGCCCCGTCTGGCGTGTGCCGCCGCGGTGGCTGCCCAGGCAGCTGTTTACGATTGGCCGAGGATAAATATTGGACCGAGAATAATGGAACCAAAGAGAAAAGGGAGGGGGTGCGGGCGGGGGGTAACCGACAAGAGTCTCTTTAAATTGTTTTCGAGCAAAGCCCAAGCCATTATGTGTAACACAAATGCTTTAAGGGGGGGGGGTGAGATGCAGGTGTTGCGGTTTAGTCTAAGGGAACCGTTGAAAAGCTATTTTTGATGTTTTGTTTAATTTTTTTGAAGCATATGTAAAACCTATAATCCTCGTATGTCAGGTGTCGCTCTCAGCATGGCAGTGACGCGGGGAAGGGGTTTCAACGTCGGACGCAGTTGTACTTGCGATCAGTTTGGCTTTTTTTTTTTTTTCTTTCGTTAAAAGGCATCTGGGCCAGCTTGCGCGTGTCTGTGGGACCATGGGCCCGTGAGTGAATTAATGAGGGGCTTTGGCACCCCCAGGGGGTTGGGGGTGAATCCCTTCTGGAGGATCCGTCCCATTGCGGAACCTCGAAATGATCAGCCTTTGTCTCGCCTTAACCCAAAGTGACTCTTCGGGATTGTGAATATTCAGATTTTGGGGGACAAAAAAAAGGCTAGAAAAGAAAAACAGAAAATAGAACGTTGCCCATTAAATATGCGAACCAAAGCGAAGAGAATGAAAAGGAAGAGACTTACGGTGCAGGATGTGGGAGCTGACATCCGGAAGCAGCCGTGCAGTGCTCTTTGTGTGGCTGCAGCAGGACGGTCCCTGCCCAGTGCCCTAATGTGTACAATATGGCCGCCGGGCCCCCCGCGTCCCCCCCGCCACTGCCGAGGGCCCATGTTTAGTATTTTAGACACGCTACATTAAAGGCATCTGGTTAAGATCTAAATGCTTGTTAAATACGCTGACATTTGGGGAAAAATAGGCATGGGGGTGGGAGCCGTGTGAGGGCCGGGGGGGGGTGTTGAGGCTCAGCCAGCCAGCAAAGGTCACTTTCCTGAAGGTATTACTGCCCCCCCCTTAAGGAGGAGCAGCACGGGGTTGCCTTCCCCGACTCCTTTAAGGCCGGCGGTAAAGCGACCGCCGGAATGGCAGGATTCGCAAACGAGAGCCACGTCACGTCACATCACGCCACAGCCAGTCACGCAACAGCACGTCACAGCACGTCACGTCACACCACGCCACGGCACGTCACGCCACGGCACGCCACGGCACGTCACGCCACGGCACGTCACGCCACGGCACGTCACGCCACAGCACGTCACGCCACAGCACGTCACGCCACAGCACGTCACGTCAGGTCACGATGACTCCGGTGACTGATCATTGCCAGAATTACAGAAATGGAATAAAAAAAAAAAAAATTCCAACATATATCAGAATAAATATATTTATGTCAGAACAAATTGGCTTTTTTTTTTAACATTCTTATTTAGGAGTCGCCCGCCAAATCTGCCCGTCCTGGCGTTAATTAACCAGCCTCATGTAAAAGACGCAGCCGGCCGCCGCGGTGAATATATTAGCAGTGTAATATTCAGTGGGTCAGTCTTTTACTGGGTTTTTAATGGCGAGCTCTCGCAGTTACTGTGCCCGGGGGAGTCGGCGCGGGACCCTGAGCCCTCAGCTCATCCATAACCTGTCCCTGAAGGACACCGCTTAATGAAACAGGAGACCTACGCTCACCTACGCCAGATTATTGGAAGCTGCTTCCAGATCTTCCCATACTGTCCTCTTGGCCTCATGAATAGGAGAACAAACAAGTCAGTCCCATCCCCTGACTGGAGAGACCTTCTCCGTTTGGCTGCTCTCTGTAAGACCCTGCCTTTTTTTTGTCGTACATTTTTGAGATTTTGTCGCATGATCTGACGGTAGCCTGATGAGTCTCTGGTTTTCACATCTTGCCTGTTTAAAGCACACTTTCCTGCTGTGACTGCCTTAAGGAGCACAGTCTGACCTTCAGAGGGTGCTAGTGTTGTAGCTAGTTTTCTATAGCGATAATGTTTTTGTATTCTTGTAGAGGCCCGTGGGGTCCCGTCTGCAGAGGCCCCACTCTCGCCCGGCGAGCCTGGGGTCACGCAGAGGGCGGGCACGGTGATGATGTATAGCTAGACATGTCTGGGAATTTCTTTAGCACTTGAAACGCATACCAGATCCGCGGAAAACCCTGCCGAGTCTAGAGAAGAAGAGGGGAAAAAAAAGACCGGGTCTGATAAGACCCAGATGATTATCGTCCGTTTTTACCATCTTCATAATTTTCCTTTTTCCGTTGCCGTGACGAGCGGCAGAGTATTAACGCATTCCGCGGCGGCTTTTAAAGCGGTACGCTGCCCTGAGCGGGGGCCGTGTCCCGAGGCCTTTGATGGATCTGCTTCCCAGTCGAGCGGAATGGGTCAGTAAATCCAGCCAGAGTAACAATACCGAGGTAGTGGGGAGGGGGGGGAGATGAGTGAATGGGGAGGGTTATGCTTCGGGAAGGAGGGGTGCGGTTTGACACGTGTGAATCCGAGGACTTCAGGCCCGATGCCTAACCCTAAAACGCGGCGCATGTGGGGTTAGCAGCGGCCGATTCCAGTGTGTGGCGTGGGGGGGGGGAATCAGAGGCCCCCAGCTGTACGGCCCCTTCGCATCGACCCTCTGTGAAGAGGAGACTGGCAATCAGGAGTGACAGGGCCTGGAAAAAAAATAATGCACCCTCAGCCTCCCCCCGTCCAGCACCCCCCTGCCTTCCCCCCGCCTCCGTCTTCAGCAGGCATTTCTTTTTTTTTTCTTTCCTTTTTTCTTTTCTGATTTCTATTTGTGATAGGCTCAGGGTGGGGGATGGTGAGCGAGGGGGGGGGGGGGGCAGGCACTGCCCATTCTAGCATGAAAATGGAGGCTCTCTCACTGATCTCCTGCATTTTTACAGCCAGTAGAGTAAAGCGATGGAGGGTCATGCCACACAGCGCTGCCTGCTGTAAACCGCACATTTCTGCCCGTAAGGACCAGCCACACGTGCGGAGCAGCCACACGTGAGGAGCAGCACCGTGCACCTGCTGCTGATCGCCTGGTTTATTTATTATATTTTTTTTGCCCCACACAGCTGTTTGAAGTGACAGAATTATTAATACAGTGTCAGGAGTGGCTTCCCTGCATCCTGCTTCAGGTGTAATTTGGTTTGGGCCCTGAGCTCGCCTGTCCCCTTCGGGGTGTGCCGGGTTAATCATGTCACCTCCCAAAACGGCGAAGGCCAGCTGCTTACCGACTGCTGACTTTGAGTGATTGTATGCAAATGAGCCACTGACCTTTCATCCACCTCCCGGCCAATCTCTATGCTTATTAAGACTCTCGCCGCTGATGACTCCAATGCTTTCAGCCATATTTCCTCCCCTCCTTTCAATCCTCACCTTTATTGAATTCCTACGCCGGTCTCGCCGCGTCTCCCTGCTGTTTTTTTTTTTTTTTTTTTTGTGACGGCAGCCCTGTGCGGCGCCATTTAGGGGGAGGATGAGCCTCGCTATCTGCTCTCGCTCAGACTGCTAAAAATTCATTAAAATGTGACATCGGCACGGTGAGAGATGAATGATCCTGGGATGAGAGGGAGCAGCAGGCCTTCCGAGGATTAGCACGGCCCCGACCTCGCGGCTAACAGCGTAAACAGATTAATCCGACGGTGGTGCAGGCCAGCCGCTGGCGGGCGTTAAGCCGGGTCCGGGGCCACGCTGGCGGGCGTTAAGCCGGGTCCGGGGCCACGCTGGCGGGCGTTAAGCCGGGTCCGGGGCCGCGCTGGTGGCCGTTAGGCCGGGTCCGGGGCCGCCGCTGGATACTGCAATACAGCGTTTCTTTTTTTTTAGTATAGTGTAGTATAGCATAGTATAACAGGGCAAAGTACGGCATAGTATAGAGCAGGGGTCTCCAACTCCGGTCCTGGAGAGCTGCTGTCCAGTTGGTTTTCTATCCCACTTGGCTTCTGATGAGTCACACCTGTTCATGGTATTTACCTGAGAACAGGTGTGGCTCATCAGAAGCCGGGTAGGATAGAAAACCGACTGGATAGTAGCTCTCCAGGACCGGAGTTGGAGACCCCTGGTATAGAGCATGGCCCCAGAGACACTGACTACTCTGTGCATGAGATGGTTTGCTTATCCATGTATTTCTGTCTTTGTTTAGTTGCAGAGGAGCTGGACGGAGGCACAGACAGACCCCCTAAAACTGCAAACCTGACAGCGGCTGATGTCAAAGATTTCAGGGAGAAAAACGGCAAAGATGGCAAAAAAGCTAGTAAAGAATTCCGTAAGACAAGACCTCCTCACATGTCCCTGTCTGGTGTCCTGCTGCGTGTCCCTGTCTGGTGTCCTGCTGCGTGTCCCTGTCTGGTGTCCTGCTGCGTGTCCCTGTCTGGTGTCCTGCTGCGTGTCCCTGTCTGGTGTCCCTGTCTCGTGTCCTGCTGCGTGTCCCTGTCTGGTGTCCCTGTCTGGTGTCCTGCCGCATGTCTTAATGCTGCTCATGCTAGCAACTTCACACTGCCCTACTTTTAATCATATCCCTCAGACGGCACAGACTCAGATAAGCTGAAGTTTATTAAAGAATGACCTGTGAGATTATCCTTTTCATCAGATCCATTTGAATGCTTGTCTGCTCATTTCCTGTTATTAATCTACGCTGCGCATGTTCTTCGCCTGATGGGTTGCCGGCTTCATTAAGGTGGTCTCAGAGCTGTGCATGCCATACTTTCAGAGACCCTGGTATCTGTATTGGTCTTCTGAATAAGCCTCATCCTTCTAGCTAGCAGGCCCAACATGGTCATCTCATTAGAGCCTCTTCCTCTGAGCACAGGCGAGCAAAAAACCTTGACCTAGCCTTTGAAAGCCACCTCGGGCTATGTGCATGTGATTTTGTAAATTGGACACCCTGCCCCCGGTCATTCATCAGATGAAGGACTAAGGTCAAAATCGTACATTTTACATGAATGTTACAGTGGATGCATCTACGGCAAAGACATAACGGTACTGAAGCAGACTTATCAGCTGTAGATAGTCATTGATCTTTGGTTTGTGTCCCTGTGACGGTCCTGTCCCTGGAGGACCTGTCTGAAGCCGCCCGGACCTCAGCATCATGTGCAGCCTCAGTTAACACCTTCTGGTCCTCGTTCCTGTGGTGTCTGCTGGAGGGCAGTGCCATGGGGGGGGGGCATATGCTATAGTCTGAAATATCTGTATTCCCTAATAAACCTCACTTTCTGATTTTGTTCTCAGGAGGTACAGTAAGAAGGGAGACTTGTTTTTCAAAGTATACAAGGTTATAAGCTATCATCAGCTTATCGATCCTGAATATTGCCTGTAACAAGGCAGTAGTTTAAAACTGCAGTTAGTTTTTAGGTATTTGTGTTGTCATACAGATTTTTTTTGTACAGATTTTTCCATCGTGGCTGGTTTGATGCCATCCACATTACAAGTTCATTATTCTGAAGCTGTACCTTTAGACCAGTTAATAGTGATACTGCCCTCACAGCAATGAACCAAATGGAAATGTTTAATATCCCTAATAAAAGCATTAAGCACGTTGCCATACTTGATTTATAACTTAATCGGAAAATGGTGGAGGGTGTTCTGTATCTCGCAAGCTGGATTTCACACTTAAGAGCGACCGGCGGATTTCATCTCGTCCCTTCTGACACTTTGGGAACGTCATCGTTTGAGCCGACTGGCGGGGACGGGAAGCTGTGTTGTTTCGGAGTCAGATCCAAGGCTACGCTTGGAATGTCTGTAATTCCCGTTTTTAATAACATAGCTTGTGCGCTGCACCCCCAAGAGCAGGCATGCCAAGCCGGGGTCTGTGTGTAGGGAGATTGGCTTTTATGTAGGTGAAATACACAGCTTGTGTAGCTCCCGAGTAAAGGTCTGAGAAGGTATGTGTTGGCAGCACGCTCTGCTTATGACGCCCCAGTGAAGTGAGGCCCCACCCCCATGCCCGTGGGCATGATTGAACACAGCGCTAAAAAATTTACCATCGTGTGAAAGACTAATAGAGCGATGTGTGCTTTTCCCTTCGCGTCCCCTTAAGGTCACTGACGGTTGTAAATGAAGACAGGTCGCGAGACCATCTGTCTCATTCCCGCAATGCAAATACGCCGAATGCCGCAGAACAGCTCCTGATTTATTTAATGGGGCGAGGCCACGTCCCGTCCCCTGCCGTCTATCGGTCCGGACGTGTCGGGCCTTGTACCGCGACGCAGGGGAGCGGGCCGTTTTCACGAGGTGTGGGGTGACAGGAAGGAGAGGCCAGCAGACATTGAAGATGTCAGCCCAGGCCGATTCCTTTCTGGGTGCCTTTTCAGCACAGAGAGAGCAATGAAATAATGTTTGGCTAAAGAGGTATTAGGCGATACTTCTGTTTGTGCTTCAGGAATCGTAATACGGTCAAGCTTGTTAAAGAGAAAATATGTTACCATTTTTGTCTTCGATCTTTAAAATTTGATTATGGATGGATAGATAGATGGAGGGATGCGGTGAATGTTTCAATCGGTGAATGCAGGGCTCTGTAACACATACTGTAGCATGACAATGTATAATATAATATTTATTTTTCCTAGTTTAAAGTGTGTGTGCGTAGGTTATGTACTGTGTATATTACATTGTAGGGACCACAATATGATTAAAAACATGTTATTCTGACGTCATGGAGACAGTTTTTTTCAGTCCCCACAAGGGGAAACTCAGTTTAATAAAAATCAGTGACTGGAATCAAAAAAGTAAAAATGCCAAAGGTCTTGTATATTGTTTAGTTACTTATGGTTAAGGTTAGGGCTGGGTAGGAGTAAAGGGTATCATTGTTAGGACTGAGTATTCAGAATTCAGGTTTAGGGGGCAAACATAATCTACACGGCTACACAGGCAGAGGAGCGAGCAGGCCGGAAGGGCGACACAGGTAGATGGGCGAGCAGGCCGGAAGGGCGACACAGGTAGATGGGCGAGCAGGCCGGAAGGGCTACACAGGTAGATGGGCGAGCAGGCCGGAAGGGCTACACAGGTAGATGGGCGAGCAGGCCGGAAGGGCGACACAGGTAGATGGGCGAGCAGGCCGGAAGGGCGACACAGGCAGGAGGGCGAGCAGGCCGGAAGGGCGATACAGGTAGTGGAGTCGTCGCAGGCAGCAGGGTAGGCAGGATATCTTGATAATTTGGGGTCTCCAGGCAGCACAGCCCAGTAGGGAAAATAAAATGTGCAATTAGCCAAAGTAGGAGAGACTAGAGGCAGTGCAAACAGTTAGGTGAGTGCAGTATGTAAGGCTATGGCAGATAAGGCTATGGCAGCATAAGCAGGAGGGAGAGGCAGGTGGGAACGCAGGCATGGGGGGTCCCTGAAATGTCAGCACTCCAATCCCACAAGGGGGGGTGAAGCTAGAGTGACAGACTGACAGTTCAGTTCATCCAAAGCCAATGGCACCGATCCCCACCCAGCTCTACACCTCACACTGTAGGGCTCACATGCAAACTCCACACAGAACCCTGGCAGACACCTTATTCGCAGGAAAGTGTGGCAACAGTGCTGACCACTGCACCACTGCGCTGCCTCATCATCAACTGTATAATTTACAATTCAGTGGAGAAAAAAAAAAAACTTTAACATTACTGTATTAATATTAGTATTGTGTATTGTGTGGGTCCTCCTTGGAGTAAAACATTGTTTTATTTTCCCTTCTGATCTTGGACACTGAACAAATTAAATTGTCTGCTCTGGACTGGACCGGTCTGGTCTCAACCGTGACAGTAATGAAGGATTTATCATGCTCTGCAGTGTCCAACCAATTACAGCTGGAGGCAGATCTCCATCACAAGGCTCAGCTGCGACCAGCATGACCCTGACAGGGTGCACACACACACACACACACACACACACACCACGTACACCCACACATACACATAACACACACACATATTTACACACACACACACCACATATACATGTTTACCCACACACATCACACACACATACGTGTATACCCACACGCACATGTATATCCACATCCACACACACCACGGACGGACACACACACACACTCCTGTACTCAGTTGGACACATACACACACTCAGAGGTTATCTAAAGGATATTTGGCAAAACTGGGCCACTGTCTTGTGAGGCGATTCCATTTCTTTGGTAGAGCTCTATTAAAGTGTGCAGTGATGTGGGTATGTTTCTGTGGGAGGGGACTGTTCTGCTGGGGACAGGCAGGCATATTGCAGTGAAACTGCACTGTGCTTCTGATGACTGTATAGCTTTGAAACAGTCTATCATCTGTAAATGTTAATAAGCCCAGAAAAAGTAAATAATCACCAAAGCCACAATCTTACTGCTCCAGAGTGTTTCTTCTGCATGCGTATGTGTATATATGTGCAAATGTGCATATTTATACGAGTCCATGTATAATATCTTTCGCTGCCGATCCCGGCGCTTTTTCACCTGCAGAGTGGATGTTACTGTGGCATTAAGTCTGCAAAGACGTTCACTTTCGTGTGCCGTGCTGATGCCCACCCATGTGTCTTCTGCAGGACCAAGCCCGCTGGACAGAGACCGCCGGGCGGAGGAGACCGGAAAGCGCTCGCCGCGGGACGGGGAGATCGACGGCAAGGGCAAGAGGCGGAGGCTGGCGGAGGACAAGGCCGTCGCCGGCGATCAGGTGGGGCTCCGCAGACGGACGGTCCGGCCGAAGCGGCTCAGCGCGTATTCTTTGTGAACCGAGGCGCAGGTCCGCGTTACGGAGAGCGGCGTTTCCGAATTCCACAGGATTAGCACAATCCCCATTGCTAGCTATTGTCTCCAGATGGGATCTCAGTCTTACGTGTTCTTTTAATCAGATGCTTTGTTTCAAATTAAGACAAAAAAGGATTCATGTGTGCAGTAACATTTCACTTGATGGGGCACAAATACTAAGTTGCTACTGAAGTACAAATCATGAATAAATATAGCCTGCTTGAGATAAAACATGCTTCATGATTTATTAAAGATGAACTAATATTAGATCATTGTTGTTATTCATTAACTTCATTAATTCCTTAGTAGTTCACAAAAGTTTACAGAATTAACAGATACAGTCACAAATATAGTATCTGCTTGAGATAAAACGTCACGATTCATTAGATGATTTAACATGAGCTCAGTATGTAACTAAGACTTAGTTTGTAGTTAATTCATAATTAATGATAACATTGTATTATACTATTTGTGTCCCAGAGTAAAGTGTTACTGTTTGCTCAGCTGAATCAGTGGAGGACCTAGTGATTTCTTAAATGAATGATGTCAAACGGGGGGGGGGGGGGTTTGTTGCCCACCCGCCTTGCGTAGGAGGGGGCGCTGGCACTTCTGGTCTCTGTCTGATAGGAAGTTGCTCCGATGTTGCTCCTTTAATTAATCTAATTGTCCAGTAGATCCAATTCATTAGACCCGTTACTTTTCATAAAGTCAGTTGTCGTGTTTATATGGGGGATCATATATGTTCAGATGTGTGTATGACTTTGGGCCCCCTTGACCTGTGCCCCTGCCAGTGCCCCTACTGCACCTTCAGCAGCACGGACCGCGCCCGCCTACAGACCCACATGGCATCGCAGCATTCCCTGCAGCCGCTGCTGCGCTGCCCTCTGTGCCAGGAGATGCTGGGCAGCAAGCTGCACCTCCAGCTGCACCTGACGCACCTCCACAGCGTGCTGCCCGACTGCGTGGAGAAGCTGCTCCTCACTGTACGTCTGCATTGCTGCTTTTTTTCCTTTTTTATGTATATATTTTTTTTGTCCTGGTCGGCGGTGCGGCCCAGCATGCCTTGCGGCACATAATAAATGGCCTTTATGGGCGCTAGGCCACCTTGCTGTCCAACCGCCTTTTATGATGAAACGGCTCTGTTAAACTGGGGGACTGTGCCATAAACACAAAGCTTTTCTGTTATTAGGAAAGTTAATACCGCTTTTGAAAATAAACCCTGCGTCGGGGGCCAGACGTTACCTAAAATGGCAGTCTAAATGTCACGCCCGGTAAAGTTTAATGCTATAAACTGAAATGAACGTTTGTGCGAAAAGTGAATTCAGAACATTCTTTGATATTCGTTTTATTTTTTCCGCAAGTCCTATATATTCATAGTCATATATATTTTTTTTAAATATAAGAAAGTATTTAATTTGTTTATGTTTATCTCTATATATAGCATATGTAATTTTATGGACACATACAACTATGGGGAAGCAGACTTCTGAGTTTGCATGCTCACTCTGTCATGCCAGTTTCCCTTTGACTACTCTAGTTAGGGGAAGTTGTAAATTTCCCACTGTAAGTCAGTGCAAGCCCTGGCATCCTGACCTGGTCATCCCCCTGCCCTGTGAGAGTGGCGTCCCGCCCAGGGTGTCCCCCTGCCCAGTGACAGAGTGGTGTCCCATCTAGGACATCCCTCTGCCCAGTGACAGAGTGGCAGCCCGCCCAGGGTGTCCCCCTGCCCGGTGACAAAGTGACTTCCTGTCCAGGGTGCCCCCCTGCCCCATGCTATGAGAGAGTGGTGCCCCCCTGCCTTGAGCCTTATTCATCCTGGAAGGGCTCCTGGATTGCAGTGTCTCTGCACTGGAGACGTGGTTTAAAAATGGACGGATATACATATTTTAACAGGTGTCGGGACCAGATGTTGCCATGACCAATAACATGCCGCTCCCTGGAAAAGACAAATTAAAGGAAACCAAGACTGCTACTCCAGAGGAACCTGGAAACGTTCTTGGTAAGATTCTTTTTTTTTTGTATTTCTTTTTTTCCTAAAGGGAGTGATTTTGGTGTGTCAGGTGTCTCACTTATCAAGCTTCAACAGCAGTGGAGAATCTTCACCTGTTCATTCCCAAAAGTAGTACAACTAATAAAAATGGACATTTAATATGAGTGGAGATTAAAAATGTAAAAGGGAAAAGCAAAAAAAAAATTTGTTTTCGTTCCTTCAGGAGAAAACGAAAGCTTAATAAATCATTTTAATTCCGCACAGGTATTAAGAACTTATCAATGTTATTTCAACATATTAAAAACAAAAAGGCTTAAGAAGCGGTGCTTTCAAGAGCTTACCCATCCACCCCCCCTTTACACTTTCCTAGGTGACGCTTCTAACAAAAGAAGCCCTAGACGAGATAAGTGGCTTCAGAATGAGGAGCTGAAGCTTCAGGTGGACCTCCGGGAAGCTGGAGACCAGGACACCAGCAGCGCCAAGGGACACGGAGACCCCACTCCTTCAGCAGAGGAGCGGGGTGACATGCCGAAGCAGCAGCCAGCACCTGATGCTGACCTCCCAGGCCCAAGCTTCCCCTGCGGCCAATGCGGGCAGTCCCTCGACACTCTGCAGAAGCTCCGAGTCCACTCCCAGTCCCACGCAGTTGTCCTGTGCAGCCTGTGCCAGGGAAGCTTTCCCTCCTTTCTGTCTCTCAGGAAGCACTTGGAGACAGGTCATCCGGAGCTGAGCAAGGCCAGGGTGAGGCAGCTGTGTGGGAGCCCTTCGCCCAATGGGGACCTGTGTGCCGAGCTTGAGGCTAGGCCATGCGAGGACATGCCAGCTCTGGAGCATCAGATGGACAAGGAAGAAGAGATGGACCAGGAGGGGAAGGCAAGCCCCGTAGGAAGCGACAGCAGCTCCTTGATGGACGAGATGGGATCAGAACCGAAGCGGAGCCTACCTCTCAGGAAAGGTCCAAACTTTTACATGGAAAAGTTCCTAGACCCTTCTCGTCCATACAAGTGCACGGTATGCAAGGAGTCCTTCACCCAGAAGAACATCCTTCTGGTTCACTATAACTCAGTGTCGCACTTGCACAAGCTAAAGAAGGTCCTGCATGAGGCATCAAGCCCCATGCCGCTGGAGGCCAGCAGTGGTGTTGACAACAAGCCCTACAAGTGCAACGTCTGCAATGTCGCCTACAGCCAGAGCTCCACCTTGGAGATTCACATGAGGTCTGTGCTCCACCAGACAAAAACAAGAACCGTCAAGGTGGAGAATGGCAGTGGCGCGGTCAATGGAAACGGGCCAACACTCAGTCCCATCCCTGTCCAGCATGGGGTGCCAGACTCCAGCTTACCGGTGCACCCTTATAGCGAGAAGATGGAGGCTAAGGAGGCAGCCAGGAAGAAGGCGGAGCACACTTCTGTCCAGCCCTCGCAGTCTCCGGCGCAGTTGATGATGCAGCACGACTTGCAGTCGCATGCTGCTTTCTTTCAGCCCCAGCTGCTGAACCCAGCTTTCTGGCCGCACTTCCCAGTGACTCCCGAGGCCCTGCTGCAGTTCCAGCAGCCCCAGTTTCTTTTCCCCTTCTACATCCCTGGTACTGAGTTCAGCCTTGGGCCCGAGCTTGCTCTACATTCCGGCGCCCTGGGCCTGCCGGGTTTGCCGGCCTCGCTGCTGGAGGACCTGAAGCTGCAGATGCAGCAGCAGCTTCAGATGTCGCAACAGCAGGCCGCCTCCCAGTCACAGTCCCAGCAACCGAAGGTACAGCAGCAGCAGGCAAGCAAGCCAAAGCCTGAGGAGGTGAAGGCCTCTGCTGATGGTCTGATGCCAAAGGAAGTCGAGGAACCACCAGAGAAGGAGATGAACAGAGAGAAGCAGGATGGTATGAGCAGCAACGACGCTACAGCAGATGGCAGGGATGCCAAAAAGCCAAAGCTGCCAGAGTCCCTCAACCCTCCACCGCGCATCGTTTCTGTGGCAAGAGGCACTGTTGCCAAGGCGCTGCTAGAGAACTTCGGTTTCGAGCTGGTGATCCAATACAATGAGAACCGGCAAAAGAACCAGAAGAAGAGCCAAACTGGAGAGGAGACCTCTAACGATAAACTCGAATGTGGAATATGTGGAAAGTTGTTCTCCAACCTCCTCATCCTGAAGAGCCACCAGGAGCACGTGCACGGACAGCTGTTTCCAAATGGAAAGCTGGAGAAGTTTGCTCAGCAGTATAGAGAGGCTTATGATAAACTATATCCAATAAATCCACCTTCACCAGAAATATCCACACCCCCGACCCCCCCACCTCCTCAGCCTCTCCAGCCCCCGCCTCCACCAGCACCACCAACACCTTCCTCTGTTAGGAAGGTTCAGACTCCTCCATCACCTCTCCAAGTTCCACAATCATTGCCACCACCCGCACCACCACCTCCCCCACCCCCACCCCCACCTCCTGTACCTTCCCAGCTGCCCTCTTTGGACCTCCCTTTCTTTCCTCCGCTGATGATGCAACACCCTGGCCTGCCCCCGCAGCTGGCCCTCCACATCCCCTCCCTGGATTCATTATCTCAGGCAGAGTTAGCACAGCTCTACCAGCAGCAACTGGGACTGGATCCTGAGTTCCTGCGGCAGTCGCAGTTCAAGCGGCCTCGCACACGGATCACCGACGACCAGCTAAAAATCCTTCGCAATTACTTTGACATCAACAACTCCCCAAATGATGAGCAGATCCAGGAAATGGCAGAGAAGTCTGGCCTTCAACAGAAAGTGATCAAGCACTGGTTTCGCAATACGCTCTTCAAAGAGAGGCAGCGGAGCAAAGATTGTCCGTACAATTTCAACATTCCACCCATCACCACACTAGAAGACTTCCGGCTGGACCCTCAGGTCAGCTCAATGGAGTATTACAAAACGGATGGCACAGCAAATAAGAGGTCCTCCAGAACTCGCTTCACAGACTACCAGTTAAGGGTTCTCCAGGATTTTTTTGATGCCAATGCTTACCCTAAAGATGACGAGATCGAGCAGCTTTCCGTTGTTCTCAATCTGCAAAGTCGGGTGATTGTTGTCTGGTTTCAAAATGCTCGTCAGAAGGCTCGCAAGACTTACGAGAATCAGGCAGATGGTAAGGACAATGAGAAGGAGAGGACAAACGAGCGTTACGTCAGGACCAGTAACATGCAGTATCAGTGTAAGAAGTGCTTGGTGGTTTTCCCACGCATCTTTGACCTGATCACCCACCAGAAAAAGCTGTGTTACAAAGACGAAGACGATGAAGAAAAGGATGACAGCCAATCTGAAGAACTGATGGATACCAGTGACCTGAACTTGCCAAAGTTTTTGGGGCTCACAGATGCATCTAAAACCCCTGTAATAACAGCCACCAGCTCTGGGTCCAGCTCTCCCATAACTCCTGCAGCACAGTCTTGTATGGAAAAGGCTTCACCAAAACCTGACCTAAGCACTGAAAAACCAAAGCAAGCTGAGACTGTTCCTTCCCAAATGGCAAAGTTGCTGTCAGAGTCCCAGCCATCCCAGACTCCTCAGCACCTTCAGAAAACAGCCTCCCACCAAAATGTCGCCAGGCCTCACTCACAACCTCAATCAACAGTCATCACCTCTAGTCCTTTATCCATGGCCATCTCCTCGATAACCAACAGTTTACCTCCTCCCATGTTACAGTATCAATGTGAACAATGCAAAATTGCATTGCCTTCTGCAGAGCTGTGGCAGGAGCATCAGCACATGCATTTTCTGGCAGCCCAAAACCAGTTTCTCCACACCCAGTTCCTGGAAAGGCCCACAGACATGCCGTATATGATATTTGACCCAAATAATGCCCTCATGACTGGGCAGCTACTCTCAGGAGCTCTCTCCCAGATGGCAACGCAGAACAGCATGGCCCTCTCCACATGTCCTGGTTCTGGTTCCAACTCACTGAAACGCAAGATTGAAGAAAAAGACGACAGCTGTTCCAATGAAAAAGACAGCGGAAACAGTCTAGAGGACCAGCACAGGGATAAACGACTTCGGACCACCATTACACCAGAGCAGCTGGAGGTCCTGTATGAGAAGTACCTCATTGATTCCAACCCAACTCGAAAAATGCTGGACCACATCGCTCACGAAGTGGGCCTGAAGAAAAGGGTAGTGCAAGTCTGGTTTCAGAACACCCGCGCGAGGGAGAGGAAGGGACAATTCCGATCCGTTGGACCTCCACAGTCTCACAAGAAGTGCCCTTTCTGTAGAGCACTCTTCAAAGCCAAGTCGGCCCTCGAAAGCCACATCCGCTCCCGGCACTGGCATGAAGCGAAGCAGGCCGGCTTCAGCTTGCCCCCAAGTCCCCTGGTGATGCAAGATGAAGCAGAGAGCCCGAGTAGGTGTGGTTACTTTGACTATTCGCAGGTGTCCATGAAATCAGAGACTAATGAATATGAGATTCCTGCTGCATCCTCAACTCCAGTCAAACTGTCTGAAGCACAAAGAAAGAACATCTTGAGCCTTTCACTGAAAATGGAAAACCATAATGATTACGATGTTCTCAACATTAATTCCACAGATGTTTCCCTAGATCAGAACAAAACTGATTTTGATGAAACATCTTCGGTGAACACCGCTGTGAGTGATGCAACAACAGCAGATGAGGGACACAATGAAAACGAGAGTGTCAATGGCATTGGAGCTGAAAAGCAGATAGAAACCAAAACACATCCATCCCATAATCCCAATGGTTATGATGAACGTTTTTTTTATAACCTGGCGAGCCCCTCCTTCAGCTTCTCTGGTAGGGAAGGTGAGCAGGGTTACATTATTCTGGATGACCAAGATGACAATGCGGATAAGAGCGAAACATCAAGCTTAGCGGATCCAAGCTCCCCGAGTCCTTTCGGTAACGGCAACCCCATGAAGCCAGGAAAGTCAGGTGGAGAGAAGCTTAGCCACAAGCGCTTCAGGACTCAAATGAGCAACCAGCAAGTCAAGGTTCTCAAGGCTTGCTTTAGTGACTATCGAACACCCACCATGCAGGAATGCGAGATGCTGGGAAACGAAATCGGCCTCCCCAAGAGGGTCGTGCAGGTCTGGTTCCAGAATGCCCGTGCTAAAGAGAAGAAGTTCAAGATTAACATTGGCAAGCCATTCATGATCAGTCAGAACTCCCCGGAAGGCCCAAGGCCCGAGTGTACTTTGTGTGGCACCAAGTATTCCGCTCGCTTTTCCATCCGAGATCATATATTCTCAAAGCAGCATATTGCCAAAGTGCAAGAAACCCTGGGACACCAGATTGACAGAGAGAAGGATTACCTTACTCCTACGACTGTCCGGCAGCTGATGGCACAACAAGAGCTGGACCGCTTAAAGAAGGCCACGGATGTTCTCGGCATGACAGGGCAACAGCAGGCAGTGACTGAAAAGAATGCACTTCAGGGCCATAACGGGCCTGCAGGCTACACTGGAATCTCCACCATAGCACCCGTGCAGCTGCCTGGGGTAAATGGCCCCCTACCCCTCCCCCTCTTTTCGCCAAACATACCTGGTGAGTTCGCCGTGCGATGAAAGGCCACCTCACACATCACATGTCTCTTCTATGCTTATGACAATGCTTTAGGCACTTGAAATGAGGGAGGATGCTTAGTGCATATAGTGAGAAGACGCACTATATTTCCTGTTCAGATATTTCTAGAGCAACCATGTCTTTTTTATTATAATTTTGTAGTTGTATAGATATTGTTTTGTATTTTGTGAAGTTTGTGTCAGTTTGTGAAGTTTGGTCTATAACAAAAAAAAAAAAAAACTTTCCAAGACCTCCCCATGTTCAGATATAAATAGATTTCAAGGTTAGTGTATTTCATCAATGTCTGCAATGTCTTTATCACTATATTTCAGCTTTAGCAGCCCCTGGTGCTGGTATTCTTGGGTTTCCCACTACAACCACCTCTACCGCCAGGCCTCTGAGCAGTACCCCAACCAAGGCCATGTTGAGTCCTCCACCTCCACCTCCCCCTATAACTCCTGCCAGCAATCCCAATGAGCAGAAGAGTACGGAGCCTGAGGTGGAAAAGAAGGCTGAGAATCAGAAGAAAGCTGAGGAGAAGGAAGCAGACATCAAGAGCCCAGACATAAAAAAGAGAATGAGGTCCTCGACCATGCATTCAACTAAAGTCAAAGGTGGTGAGGTGCCAGTGGATCCAGCTCAGCTGCAGGCACTGCAAAGCGCCGTCGCTGGTGACCCTGGGTCCTTCTTAGGGGGGCATTTACTGCCCTACTTCCTTCCCGGACTCGCATCGTGTTTCTCGCCCCAGCTTCCGGCCGGAGTGCAGGCCGGATACTTCCCACCCTTTTGCGGGATGGAGAGCCTTTTCCCATATGGCCCGGCTGTGCCGCAAGCCGTCACTGGCCTCTCCCCTACTGCTATTCTGCAGTATCAGCGCTCCCTGCAAGACTCCCTGCAAAAGCAGCAGCAGTCGCAGCAAAGACAGCAGAGACAGCAATCGCAGCAACTGCAGGATCACGCTGCGCAGGAGCATCAGCAGCAGAAACCCCGTCTGGCCCGGCAAAAGAGCACGCAGAGCGAAGCCCTCAGACCAAAAGAGGAGGGGAAAGCCGCCACAGGTGAAAGCACAAAAGACGAGCCCCGCACCGATACCAAAACCTTAGACTTCCTGGACGCTTTCATCCTTCCCTCCGTGAAGCCCGAGTTCATCTGCCGGAAGTGCGAGACGCCTTTCGCCGATGAGGAGTCGGCACGGCGCCACCAGACATCCTTCTGCTACTTTGGCCAGCCGACGGCCGCACTGCAGGAGACCGTGTTGTGCAGGGCGGCGAGCAGATATGACTGCCAAGCCTGCAACGTGTCCATTGGCGGGAACGAAGCGCTCAGCCAACACCTTCAGTCGAGCTCGCACAAGGAGAAAACAATCAAACAAGCAATGAGAAATGCCAAAGAGCATGCTAGATTATTACCTCACTCCGTCTGCTCCCCTAACCCTAACCCTAACACCACATCTACCTCGCAGTCTGCAGCTTCTTCTAATAACACCTATCCGCACCTTTCCCACCTGACCACAGCGGCCTGGCCTAGCGCCCTCTTCCCAGCGTCCGCCAGGGCGGCCGCTTCTTCTCCATCACCTTCTCCGCCCATCTCATTGCCTTCAATGGTTACCTCAACTCTGTGCAGCTCCTCAGGCGCCCAGACCTCGCTACCCGGCAGAAGCTGCTCGGAAGAATCCGACAGCAAGCTAAGCCAGAAGCTGGAGGAGCTAGAAAATTTGCTGGAAGTCAAGTCAAAGCCGTCAGCCGGCATGGATGGTAGTTTCAACAGTATACGGATGGATATGTTCAGTGTATAGGAGTGAAAATGGGATCCATTGCTTTAAAAATAAGAAATAAGACTTAAACTGCAGTTCCAAAGTTTCTCTATCCCAAAAATATTCACAGTACCAAATGATTGACTCAGGATTGTTGTTCCCATATTGATAAAGCTGGTAAGCTATGGATTAATGGACAAAGTTGCATATGCTTGACTGAGTTTTTACTGTATGAATATACAGAGGAGGGGAGAGGGAGAAAATAAAATCCCACAAGTTCTTGCCGAACTTGTTTCAAACCAAAACACTCATGATAGCAAGTTGCACATAAGCTGGACTGGTTTCCAAATGCTTACGTGGGCTGTATGGGACTGATGATCCGGAACTTTTTTTTGGAGAGAAGTTTCTCGTGCTTTAGTTAGGTGGTGATTCAGTAGCTTTAAATTCTCAGGTCGGAACAACATTTTCTCATTTGTAAAGAGCAGCAAGAAGCCAGGGCTTGGCTTTACCAAAACACGTCCGGCATTATCAGAAGCATTAAATATGTGGGTAATGTAATTGTTACTGAACAACATATCTTTTTACATCCCCCTCCAAAGCAGTAAGTTGTACAACTGAGGAAGAATCTGGAATGGCGTTGAAATATATGCCCCCGTGTCACTTTTCAGTCCCACAAGCGTGTTTCTTGTATATCTGTAAAGCACCCCCCCCCCCCATAGACTGTACTAACACCTGTGGCAACACTTGTTTTTTTTCTCTCTCTTTACCTCTGATAACACCCTTTTCCAAAGAGGTAATAATCCTAGTTTTGATAGACTTTGATAGAATGACGTGGACATTTTTATTCCTTGGTGACCTGCTATCCCGTCAAGGTGCGTGCTTGTGTCTGGACTACAGTGCACTTAATTTATCATCTTTAATTTCACCTAGATTTTAATTTATTTGTAACTTTTCGATAGATTGTTCATAATTTAATAGTGTTTTTTTGTGTGTGTGTGTGTTTATACTTATTTGTAAGTGTAGCAAAGCAACATTTTGGTCTTTTCTTTGTCATTATGACTCATAGCATTTCAAAGACATATTTAAAAATTTAACAAAGTAGAACCACATACTTGAAACTACATAAGTACAAGTTGAACAAAGAATATTTATAATGCTATAAATATTTACTTCTTGAGAGCAAAGAAGCTGCTTTGAGAAAGGGGACTAAAACAGTTCTTTTGTCAGTGATTTTTATTTTTTATTTTCCTCCTGCTGTTTGTCAGCCAAACACACTTCCAAACACACAGCGTCATTTAGCGGATAGCTAATTGTACTTTCCTCAATACTCTGGGCCCCGTTGATTTTCCTGTCTCATTTCATCATGTATAAAGTATTATTATCCTTTACCGACATTTTGCTGCTACTCTGCAACATAGTTTCTGCTTGCCTTGGACTTTCGACTTTCTATTTGACATACGACTGACTCATGAAATGCTTTGGTTGGCTTTTTTTCCCCCTTTTCCTTTCTTTTTTTTTTTTTGCCGTGGATCTTAAACAACGTGAAAGCTGTCGGGGCTGTTCAGTTTTACGAACAACCTTCTGGTTCTGCGAGGCTGGTCAACGCGATTCATTCCAAAGTAATGGATGGCCGTTTATACGAAAGTAAAAGGCTTTTGGACAAAGAGGAGTAAGCAGTTGTACATATTTCTGGTCGGCCGTGCATGGTACAAATGTATTAATTATGAAGAAACGCAAACCTGTATCGCTTTTGATATTCCTATTCTGAGATGAACAAGTAGCATGTAATGCAACTGTTTGACAGGATACATCAAATTTTGCTTATTATAAAAATCAAATAACATTTTCACTTTTTTTTTTAATATTGTACAGGTTGTTTTGTTGAAGTTTTGAGTGCTATTGTCACAGCGATTTTTATTCTCCGCATTTTTATGTGAACTTTTTAATGTTCTTATTTGTATTTTTAGTATTTTTACATTAATTTTAATCCTGACGACACTTTTTGATTGTTTCAAAAGAGATGTCTTGGGTGCAATTTTGCCTCTCTAAAAGTAGGGGGCACTGTCCTGATTCCAAAGGGTCTCTGCATAGGTTTTGCCTTTCTCTTGAATGTGGGTCAGCAGTCAGAGACTGAGCTGTCCGTTAACACAGCAAATAGACGTGTTGGCATGGAACAGATTGCTTCCCACGTAAAGGACTGGTAAACGAACCGAAACTTGTATAACGGTCCAATAAATAAATGTATACACATTGCAACTGAACCAAAAACTTTCTAGGGATGGATAGTGTCAACCTAAAGAGGACAGCATTCAAGGGGTGATGTGAGGCTGCTCTCCTGGATATCAAAGGGATTAACACAGCGCAATTATCCAAAAAGAAAAAGTAAAAAAAAATCCTTTCCATGCCTGAGTAACGTAAGAAAATGCATCCTGAGGTTTTATTAAAGAGCTGTCCATCTGGCGAGAACTTTAAATAAACGAAACCAAAAATGTTATTGATGTTTATAAATATATAAATATATATATAGAGTAGTTACACTAGTTTTTGTTACTGTAATGTTGAAAGTCTCAACTGTACTGTATTACAGTTAAACATGGTTTTGAAAATTCTTTTCATTTTGTCACAGACCTGTTGTCATAGTTGAAATGATGTTTATCGTAGATGGTATTCGAACCCGCTTCCGTTGGAAGGCGACGGTTCCTTCGGTATGTCTGTTATTCAGTGTGATACATTAAAGTCTATCTGCAAACCAGGTCTCTGCGTGTGTGTGTGTGCGTGCTTGTGTGTGCACGCTCGTGCGTGTGCCAGCCTTCCATCTCACTATCTTTCCCTTCTTTTTTCGAATACCCCCGCGAACGGTAATCGGCAGCTTAAACGCGAGGAGGCGCTTTTAAATCATGGTCACCGCTGGATGGAGACATCTGCTTTTAATTTGTATATGATTTACTGAAGTCCTGTATAAGCGAATGTGGCTGGCCTCTGGTTTGTAGAAGGCAGGACGTAGTCTGATGCTTAACATATGAACTGTTAATTCCATTTGCTTGTGAAAGAGCCAAAGCAGGAGGCTGATATGGGGGTTAAAACCGAGGCCCTAACTCCAGTTAGGTGGCTTAGGGAAGGTTCTGGCATCCTGTGAGCTTTGTGCTTGTGTGTCTGACATTCATTAGCTTTTGTGATGAAAAATGTCATTTTTTTCATTTGAGGTATATTGTGAAAATCTTAAATATTTGCTTGATAAATGGCTCGTATATGTAATATTCTGCAAGAGTATAAATCAAATTTTGCCTACAAGGTATATTGTCTTTCTGTAAATCTGACAGCAATTTTTTTTTTTACTTTTGCAGCAAATAAGTCACTGATCTTTACATAATTACATGATTAAAGTCACATAGAGAAGTGTGTAATTTTGAAATAATTTCAGATGCGTATGCTTTTTTTGTGGGGGGGGGCAGCTACTTGACCTTGGCGGAAATATCCCATAATATGAGCCCATCTCTGTTTAATCTCGTTCCTGATATTGCTCCAAAGAACCTCCCTGTACATTTCCTCAGACGCATCAAAAGGTGGCCATGTTGGGGTAATTCGATTGTGTCTGACCTTTGCCGAGAACAGTTCTGAAAGAAGCTCCATTATAATTTTTCCCTTCTGTACTTTTTTATTCCTGTCATCTGGCTGTTTCGCGATGCCTGCTGCTGATCCTCGCTGACATTTCAATCACAGAGCTCATTTGATTTGACCCAGATGTGTGCTGTGTTTGAACTGCAGCACTGTGTCATCTCTCTGCACTATAACCCAAGTCACATGGTGTTTGACTCCAGACCACATCTGCCATGCTGTTCTGTACAAATAAATCACCTTTCCTGCACCTCACAATTTCTCCATTTTTCAGAACATATGCTTTCGACCTTTACAGTAAAAAAAAAAGGGGGGGGAGAGAAAGAGCAAAGTTCTCTATATACATAATAGTTTTTATTCTTTACTGTTCACCTTAACATTAGTGCTACACTATTTTGTTTTTGTTGACATTTTAGTTAATTCTCTTCAGTTTCCAGTGTTTTTTTTTATTATTTAGCATGAAACTATACAGTACTAGGCTTATTGTAGTTTGGTTGCGACTGTCTTTGACGCGTTGCGCGATTCCCTGAAAACTCACAGTCGACAATTATTTTGCTTATATGTTAAATAATTTGCCCCAGTCGCTTGCAGAGCCCGTGTAAATGACAGGGTCTTTCTGGAGGTGCTGTCTGCTCAGCAGACTGTGAAATTAGCTATGCAAGTCAAACTGTGAGCTTATTTTATACAGACAGATCACAGGAAGATAGACCTCTGCCGCCTCAAAGAATGTAAAACAAACCCGAAAGGCCACACTAATGCAGGATGTATTTAAAATGTCTGTATAATACATAATAATATATGTATGAGTGGGTATCCAAGGATAAGGCACACAGCTGGTCATTCCACACATATGCAGGCACAGACAGTAATTTTTTTAAATAGTAATTGAAGACCCCATCTGCTCTCTGAGTACTGTGGTTGACTAGGGCAGATTAGATGTTTTGAAAATACAGATGGTCCTATATTTACACAGCATGTAACCTCGGTACTGCACAGTCGACACATTTTTAAGGTTTACGTAACCTAAGGTTCCTGTGTATGCGGTTTATAAGTAACTTTACTTGTGTCGGACTTGTTCGCTTGTTTTAGTTTCTGTGTTAGGAGGAAGACTGTTCTGGAAAATGGCACCTCTTGTCTGCGTATTCTGTTCATCATTGTGGATGAAGAAGCATGCATCGGACTCTGTCCTACAGTTTGCTGAAACTTTGCAGAGAGAGAGAGAGAGAGAGAGAACTATTTACCCATAAAGATGCGGATTCTGTCACCAGGCAGAGACAGAGAGAGCCCTGCTCTTTCGCTATTCTGCCAGAAGGGAACAGCCTTTAATGGTTTATACCCTGGCTCTGAGCTTCCTGAGATGTGACAATAGAGGGGGCAGTACCAGGGGGTGACCCAGAGGCACCCTCAGTGTACTGGGTAAAGGAGGTCTGTAACCACTGAATGTAACATCTGAAAATGTGTTAATTAATGAGTCTTTTTTTTGGTGGTCCCTACCATATCGAAGTGGACTTGCATATTCCCAGTGGAAAACCTGCAATATTCTCCTACGCTGCCTATTATCATTTGTTTACTGTGTGTGTGTACTCTTAACAGGTGTGCCTTACTCTTCATAATTCTCCCGCCAAATAAAATTGTTACATTTCAGTAAATTCCCATAAGGCTGCTATGTAGAATGCACAGGAATTGGAAATGGTAGATTCAGTGCAAAACTTGAAACTAATTGTGATACTACAACATGGGAGAAGAGTAATTACCAGGCAATATCTTACTGAATTTAAAGATACAGCTTTAGAATACTTTTCCTACTGTCTTTTAAGGACCATACATTTTGTTCTGAAAGTTAAAATATTTGTCAGAAGTTCTGCAGCTCATATTGGTGCAATGACTACAGGGGGGAAAAAAACATAACCACGGGGCATAACCGTTCTGCACGAACAGCCCTCCTGGATAATGCATGTGTGAAGTGCGCCATGTTTGCTACACAAACGGATACAGCTTTAGAAACAGTGTTTGCCAGAGAAGGAGAAATGGCTCGACTTTGAAAGGAAAGTAGTTAAGCACAAGATGGCCAATCATGATGTGAACTCGCTGTTATTACTTTTTAAATTTATGACCTTTAATGCATTTTTTATTATTTGCAGCCCCCCTTCGCCGGTATTTTACCGTACCTGTTTAACAGTCCCCGCCGCAGCGATGCCTTACCTGTCCTGCGCGCGCTCGGCCCGGCCCTTCAACAAAGGGCATTTTATAGCTAATTTGTTTCTCGCGCTGGAGACAGCGCCATGGTAACTGCAATAAATATGTCACCTTCTCATAACATGGCTTCGGCTTTTAAGAGCGTTCAACAGCTTTCCCGCTCTTTACAAGCGCCTCCCCGTCTCTGCCGCTCCTGCGTGCGCGGCTTCACGGGCCATCGGGGCGCCGGCTGGGGGGCTCGGGTGCGACTCGGGGTGGGGGGGGCTGCGCTTCAGCGTGCATCATGAAAAGTTAATGCGGGGGGAGCCTATCGTCCCATAGCAGCGACTCTATTTTTATATTTTATTTGTCGTCTCTGAATTACACGTCTGAGTACGTGATTCGGTCGCTTCGCCAAGGCTTGCGACGTAGCATGTCGGCGCTGCCGGCGATGGCGGAAAAGCGGCGGTCCTTTGTTTTCCCTCGCCTGACTACATGTACGAGGGCCGTCTGGTCTGACAGCGCCGGCCTTTGATCGCCATTATTTCTCCATCCATCCCGTCTCCGCCCCCACTTATAGGGGACACAGAGCAATCGACGGGCTGTTCTGCCTCCATGTCCGTCCCCCCCCGCCCGCTTTCCCTTTTTATTGCTTTCCATTTTGGACTTTCTGTTATCAACATCATAAATGCAGCCATTCTGCCCGAATCCCTGCTGTTAATTTTGGATGCTATCAGTTGTTTTATTTAGGATATTTATCATTGTTCTGCTTGTAAGCAGAGAATTTAATTTTCTCCACTTTTTATATTTGCAGATTTAAAAAAATGTACTTTTCAACAATGACACGTGCCGCCCAAACGGTCTCTCTATCTCGATTTCAATATTGTTGCTCAACTTAATTTTAGTTCACTGGAAAATACGCTGAATTGCGCGTATGGTTATTATGCGAGCCTCTAATTCGATATGGCAGGTAAGTAAAGCATGCGATCTGTTTCATATTGATTCACTTTAATCTTAAATGTCGAGATGTTGATGTACTTCAGAGCCAGACAGTGCTGTGTCTTTGCAAGCAGGGGGTACCAGCATCTCAGCTTGTGTCCCTGATGGCCATAACGGCCTCTTTCATAATGGCTGCGCTCTCGGCCGCGCAAATGCACCTGTGTCACCTTTATTTTTTGGGGGGGGGGACCCGCCAGGCCTTGCCGGGAAACGGCGCTCTCCGCTTAATCACATCATAAAATAAGCCGGCTCAGTTTTGCTTTCATTATTACTATACAGTATCTCCCTGCTCTCCGGTGAGCGTTTTATATTTTATATGCACATTGCTTCACGTCAGGCTCACAAGGGGCATTTGTTTAAAAGGATTGAGAAATAAAAAGTAAAAAAAAAAAAAAATCTTGCATGTCTAGACTTTTCAAATAAAAGGGAATTGGCAGGCATCGTCAGGCCGGGAGCGCCTGCACCATCGTGCCGTTATTGAAGCGAACAGATGAGACCGCGAATACGGTCCTAATTTAAATAACCGCCGTGGCTTTCAGCGCACTCGCTTTATTATTTTTTAAATACGTCCTGCACCACCGATATAAGCCTGACTTCTTAAATGGGTAGAAATAACCGACGTTTTGCGGCGAAAATGGTGTTTTCGGGGGGGGTGGTGATCGATCAATTATTTCTGGCCTATGGATGAGAAAACGCTTGTTTGTGGCATTATGTAATGGCATGCGAGTCGTCCTTGAGTTTACATACATTTATTTATTTTAACATGGAAAATAAACTGATTCCAGGTCCACTGGGGCAATCTGCGTGTTTACTTTCCAAATAATTAATTGTATGAACTGACTATGGAAACACCCACTGGGCAAAAAACGAGCTTAATGAGTATGAAATTTTTAGAAGCTTTATTCAAAAAAACCCGATGGCGTGTTATGAGCACAGCATACAACGTATGAAATAATTGTGGGTTTGTTTTTTTTGTTATTTTCACGTATGCCTCGTGTGTTTTGCGCATGAAGCCGAGTGAGATGTTGAGGCACGCTGGGGGGTTGTGACGGCGAGGAATGCTTGACCCAACATGCTAATGCGGAACAAATTGCCTCAGTCGTGGCCCCTTCCTGTGCACACCTGGAATATTTACAGCCATGGATCATAAACAAGATGGTGGATACACTCCATCCAGTTATTCCCCCCCCCCCCTCCTCCAGCTTTAGTCCTAGTCTGTGTTTGCCTGGCTGTAATTATGACAACAGAAGGGAAAGGCCAGGCACATACTGTATATACCTCTGCCACGCTTCCATTACGCGGGAATTGCTGAGAGATTTAATCTCATATACGGCTCTGCAGAAGTGCCACAGAACCCGTCTGAACATTGGTGGTTCCTGGGGATTTGGATTCCCTCGCCATTGCTTACCCCCTTGAAGGGGGGGGGCCCTGTTTTACCAGCCGTGTCCCACGGACAAGCTCTGGGCCTCTCCTCCCCGCTGTAATCCACTACGCCCGCATTGCTCTCACTCTCACCATGCATTTAAAGTTTGTCTCACGCTAATCGCAGATCTCCTAATTGTTCCAGTTCGTTTTGCTCATGAGGGAATATCTCTTGTGGATTCACCAGAATAGCACCGGGCGGGTGGAGGTCCACTGGGATTCAAAATAGATGGTAAGAGCGGGCCGCCCCGCGGTGAGCTTCTCGGCTGATGGAGCCGGGACCATCCAGCTCAGGTTCTCTGTAGGCTCCACGCTGTAGCTCCGGGTGGGACGGCGAGCCACGTTACAAATCACCGGCGCTTAAGGGCCTTTTAATGCACCCCAGCCAGCTTGGAGGCCGCATCTATTACCCCCGGCCATGACCCAAGCACAGAGTGGCCTGTGAGGGCTAAGCAGCAGTTAAAAGGCTTGGGTGGTGGACGGGGCCGTCAAACACGACGACCGATCAATGGATCGATCAGGACCAGGCCAGGAGCGGGAGGCCGGTCTGATCCAATGAATGGAGGAATCGATTGATGTGTTTCTTTTATTGTAAAAAAAAAAAGGAAAGAAAAACAGTATCACAAAAGGGACCAGCTTAGCTGTTTCAAGTAGCGGAATGTTACCCTAATTAGCAGAGTCCAAACTGATAATTACCTTCCTTAATTAAGTTTGAGATGGCGTGGTCTACAATCTGCAATCCGGAAGTCTCCGTCAGAAATGGCTGACCCGGTGGGGCACCGTATTTGCCCGATTTCCGAGGCTGAGGATGCAGGAACAGGAGGCAGGTGTCACAGTGCTTGTCGCTGGTGACGTCCCTACGTGCAGCTCTCAGGAAGTCAGGCCCCTTCGGAGTTTTCAGACAGTTGGTGATGCTTATGTCTGATATTTGCACATGCGTGTTCCCTGCACTTTGTGTGGATGGTTTTTAAACAGGATTATTATCCGTAAACTACTATCAGACGTGTTTATATGGAGATATGATTTTAATATTAATGTACAGTATTCCTGAAACGGTAGGAATAAAAAATACACTCGACATTTTGAAGCAGTTTGCATTCCAGTGGCCTGGTCTGAATTCCACGGCCGTGCATTCTTTGTAAAATCCGCACCATGTTGTCTCAATCAAATTCAAAACAGTTATTAAAATTTTTAAAGGCATTTCAAATGAGTGCAAGCCGCAGGGATGTTTGAAGATTATTTGGAATTTTATATGTATTAGGTACAAATGAGCGGGTGGCACTAGTCAGGGCTGAAACCCATTTCACCTCAGACTCATTAACGAGCAGACGGTGAGGTAATCCCCGTAATTCCCTTTCTGCCGGTTCATCAAAGTGCTCACTTCCTATGCCAACGTGTCCTGGTGCTACCATGTCCTCACTGACGTGCTCTTTCTGCCATGTTTTTAATAGAAAAAGGATCATTGCACTCAAAGCCAAATGTCTGAGTCTATTTAACACAAATCGTCTGGCCATCGTTCATATTTGGAATGTGCCTCTCAGTGCGTGGATCAATATTCATACGAATACTTCATAAAAGTGCTCTAGAACAAATGCTTACGAGATTCCCTGCACTCAATACAGAGAATTAGCTATTTGAATTTGCAGATAAATTCATCTTGATTGTAATTGTGTACAAATGGAATACTTATAAAATCCACGTATGATGCATGACTGAAGTGATTTGACTATTGGCAATGAAGAACGCCATTTCCTCCTACCATCTTGACAAAATTATACATTTTTGGAATTGTACATGTTCTTTGGAAATATCATCACTGGCCTGCATTATATGCATGTCCCAATTTTTTTAAATTCATTCCATTAGCCTCCAGAGTCAAATTAGCGGACACATTTCATACGTGTAATCACATAATAATATTCATCAACAAAATGGGAAAACCTCAATTTCAGTTCAGATTAAAATATGCCTGCACATATCCAGTGGGTTCAATGCATGCCTGGATTCTAATGGAGCTCTTTATCTGTAAAACTATTTAATCAGATAAATTAGCATTGAGCATTAAGGCTGTGAGTTTGAGCGCTAAAGAAATGCTGATGAAATGGCAAATCCAGGTAGGATTGCGCCTCTAAGGTACAGATTGCATATTTGGTTATGGAAATCTGTAACAAAAATATACCATAATGATGGTTCTGAAGGTGTTCAAATTGGTGTGTTTGATGTTTGTTACGTAACACGGGATGGATAGAGAGCATTGTCTGCAGAATTTAAGACAAGCACAGGCGTACAGCATTTGCGAATGTGTCGTTAATGGTGAAACGGTAACAGCGGTTTGCGTGCCGTCACACGTGGGTTGCGACAGATATGTTAGCTAGGGCCACAGGCTATTATCGATATCGTCGGGGCCTCTGGAATGTTCTTCCAACGCCAATGTGATCCTCATCCCATGCAAGTCTTGTCTGTGGAAGCAAAGCATCCAAAATCACATGATTCCTCTAAGCTTGAACGCCATTGTTTACAGGAGACATCGCCCCACGGTGCAAGTATGACATCACCATTATTGGTCAAGTAACTGAGGACATTGTCCAGTAATGATGCAGATGAGGAATGGGACGGGAAGCTGGCCATGGCTTTTTAGAGGCCGCGCGCCTGCAAGGAGCGATATAACCCAGATGTGTACCCAGGAAGGTTGTCGGATGAAGAAAGGGGTGCGCTGCTGCTCCCAGGAGGAAGGGGATACACCTGAGAGTCATCATTAATGCACAACCACGAACGGGGAAAAGGCTAAATCTATAAACCATAAGTCACTTTGGGTAAAAGCGTCTGCCAAAGCACCAAGATTTAGGGAACAAATGGATTGTGATTTAATTAACCTTTTTTTGCATTACAACTATCACTTGGAAAAGTGAGGCAGGTTCCAAATGAGCTTCTATACATAGAGCGACCGGTTTGCTTAATAATCCGTCGCCCTGCGGTTCCGCTTCTGCACATTCCGCGGGGCGCAGACCTGGAGCGGATACGGCGAGCCGCTCCGATCCGCGTGCCGCATGGCGACGCGCCAGCTGGCCATTTGCTCCTCCCGCCGTGTGTGTCCCTCCCCCCCCCCGCTCCAGGTTAATTACACCAGAAGCAGCTGGTTAATTGACATCGACGCTGAGTGACATTATTATCCAAGTGCATCCCGCTTTACGTTAAATAAAACTGCAGAATGTAAATGTCAACTGGGGGGAAAAAATATCAGAGGTGGAGAGATTCAAGCAGGCCTGCCTTTCCCTGTCTAGGGCCTGACCTTGTTCTTGAATTTGCATGTTCCCTGAAGTTTTAAGGCCTTGCGCAAAGAGCGAACCAATTAGCAAACCTGGGGGCTTGATGATGCTGGATTACCGAAGTCATTAAGTGCTTGTTTAGATTTGTAAATGTTGTGTCACCCCCTGATGATCATCGCAGCTGGTTTGGAAGGAGGCCAACGAGGTCGCCTGATGGGGAAAGCGGAGGGGCGCTGCAGGCCGCCTCAGGCCACAGTATCGAGCATCAAGTGCAGGAGCAACAAGCAGGTAAGCGCCTACGAATACTTCCCGCAAAGACGGTCTGCTCTAAATGAGCCCATTAAGTCTCCCTTTCTCAACTTCCACAAACTTCATTAATATGTTCGAGTTATTGCGCATTAACTGGTCACGCCACATTATCTTTGATGGGGCCGAGTGTGGATATGGGGAACGGGAGCCGCAGATGTAGTGCCTGCATTCCGTGGCCGAGCACCGGCACATAAATTAAAGAGATTAAGCTACGTACAGGAAACATAAACTTAAAGATCTAAGTGCAAGTGCGGCACAGAAATCTCCAAAGGAAAACCCAAAATAGCCTGGTGAAATCTCAAGAAAGGGGGCCGATTTCTCTTAATAAATAAACTGTATGTTTTTTTTATGCTGATGTCATTTCCTTTTTTAGAATGGAATTTGTGTTCTAACATCTTCTCGCTTCTACAAAATAAAAAAGGAATTCCAGCAAATGAGCCATTTTTATTCAGTTTCTTAGTCCCTCTGCAGTACACTTTCTACCAGCTGCATACATACATGCATATTGGCAAATATACAATAAAAACAACCATTAGTGTTAACAATGTGAAAAGATATCAATTTAAACACTAGTGAGTAAGATTATGAATATGGTTTTTGTCTCTGATAGGTTGACAGTCTCTGGATTTCTCGAAATGTTACATCCCATGTGTGATTGTAGCAGTTAATCGTTTTTGTGCCACAACACCAAATATTAAAAACTGACATTTTGTCTTCATCCATTATTAGTGGGATTTGGACTTAATTAAGCACTAAATTACTCGATCAAATGTCTCTGATGAGACTGCAAAAATCCTGCAAGTGTTAAACATTGTGTTGCATATGAAGTTATACACGAAAGGAGAATGTTCACCCTATTGATATTAAATTCTGAAAACAACCATATGGTGAGGTAAATATTGCTATTTTTGTAATCTGCTGGATTCACTTTTTATTTTTTGAATGCATACGTGGCTATCGCTGATGATATGCCACATAATCAGTGACATAAACAGTCTGTCCGTGGTGCCCTTTGCATTGGCACAGATCGCGGGTTCCTCAGGCTCTGCATTGGATATGTGGTTATGGGAAGACGGGAATCAATATACATCCATCAAGCAATCACGCATTATTATGGCTGACAAGAGCCGTTTTAATACCTGTGTCTGCATAAGATGATATAAAACCTAAAGTGGTTATATCTAAAGTGAGTAGAGTAACTGCATTTTATTATCATTACACTGAGATGCACGGAGTAACACTGCAGAATTGCAGTGTAATAGCGTAAACAATGCACAGCTATTATGGGATGTATCCCAGCTAATAGCTCAATATGTGCCTGTTTTCACTGTATTTCTTGCTAATGGCTGGCAGTTCCATTATCACGGCCGTCAGAAAAGGTGTTAACATGACACGTGAAAGGCACATTAACCTTAACAGGATGCTGGGTTTTTTTTTTCTAGCTGGTCACATGGGACCAGCAACAGACAAAGTCTTGGTCCTGATGGCTGGTCGTCGCGTTGAAATCTGACCACATAACTTGGCGTCAGGTTTCTGCCTGTGGTGCTTAGTCAGACATTAAATTTACGTTGCAGCACACAATTAGCAGCTGTGACGCTCAGCCCGGGGACTTTCCCATCCCTGCCCCTGTTTCTGCAGTTTTTATCGGCAGTTCAGGGCTGCTTGCGTCAGGACAACGTGGTGAGGGGGGGGGCGGACCGGCGATGAAGGTGAGTCATATTTGTTTGAAAGCCGATTAGCGGCTTGTGTCGGCTATGAAGGAGGTCTGAGAGTCAGCACTTTGGCAGGTCAGTTTTCCAGATAATATGAGTGAACTGACAGAGTTAGCAACAGTAGTAAGCAAAAGAACACTTAACGGGATTGTCACACAACAACATCAAGTTACGGCTTCAAAATCTGCGAACTAATTCAGAACTAATTCAGCATCTCTCTCATTAAGCCCCAACAAAAACTGTACTTTGTGAGGTTCACAAAGCCGGAATTGCTGGCTGGGCTGCCATTTGGAAACCACGTGGACTGGCCAGAGCATGACGACACGTAACTCCATGTAGGGAGCAGGAGACGTCAGGCCCAGAGCGACGGGGGAAGCGTTGCAGCCTGGTCAGCCACCGTCCACCCTCTCTCCTACACCCAGATGCCTTGATGTTTGCAGAACGTCAGAGGATTGTGGGACATGGTCCATGATGGTGTGGTTAGCCGTCTCTTGGCAGTCATTAGGCTGATGGTTGCTTGTGTGGCCATTTGCTAGCCGCTGACGAGGTAACAGGGACACACTGGTATTATCTCCTTGGTTTCTTCATGATGACCTCACACACACTGTTAAACAGATCAAAGTCAAACTCCTCCCTCAGCTTCATGTCACCTGATCTAAACACCATTACGTTTTTATTACCAGTTAGTTCTGGAGGACAGTATGAAGTAGATTGTTCTGAATTCGAAGTGCGACCCTATCTCATGAAGTGTTCATGCCATATCCTCTGCCAGACTTCACACAGACACAGAAATACCTGCTTTAACTTTTTTGTTTCTGGTAGGTTTTACATTCCATTTATAAAAATGTTTTTGTTTTTCTTCTTAACCATCACAGAGAACAAAATGATATCAATATGTAATATAAAGGTTTAAAAAGCATCTGATTGACGAAACATGATTATCAAAATAAGCAGAAAATAATAACAATAATCTGATTCTTTTCATGATGTTTAGATGTGTAATTATCTGCTGCCTGGGCAATATAATTGCGTTGAGCAGCAGGTCCAGGTGAAGACCAGATGCAGTGTAATTCACAATAATTTTGTGAAATTTTCAGCAGTATCTCTGGCCCTATAATCAACAAATTGCCAAGTTATTTATCTTATACGCTTTTTTTTTTTTGCTCGATTGAAGAAATTCTCATTTCAAACGACAGCATATTTCTCCTGTGCCTTCTCTGTACACAATAACTAATGTGCGATTCCCAGCATTCCCGGCGGTCGTGGGCATCTCACTGGAAGTTGGGCATTCAAATTTTGTTGTATCTACAATGACAATAGAGATATATTCTATTCTATTCTAAAATGTAACCACTTAAAAGAAAGAATAGTAATGGGAAATGCAAACAAGCAAGCAAAAGGAGATATTGTTCATGTTGTGTGCTTTATGCATTAATATTATTTGCTACTACTAATTGTACATAATAGAATAATAATAATAATAATACATTTAATTTATGAAGTACTTTGCACTAGAACAAAATCTCAAAGTACTGATATAGTTAAAATAAGATAATCAAATGTTTATGTTTGGACAGTTACAGGTAAGTAAAAATCCCTAAAAACTGTTAAAAAAAACTTGCCAAGTTACCACATACTACCGGCGGAAGAAAAAGATTAAGTTAGAATTGACTCCATGATGGTGGTCTTGCTACGCGAAGGCCTGACTTGCTGGCGGGGACCACAACAAGGCGGGGCCACATTTTCCCTTTATTGACTTTTGCAGGTGTTTGTCTTCAATGGACCCTGTTCTTACATAGTGTGGCAAACAAATCAATACCCTGCAGCGGGTCCAAAGAGTGGATGTGACAGGCCTGATCCTCGTCACGCCGCGGCCCGCCAGATCACCGGACGGTGATTTATACTCCTGCTTCGCTGTTCTACATGCCCCCGCTTGGGAAAGTCTAGGTTCATCCGTCTGACCCGCTGAGCGGGTATTGATCAGCACTTATTTAATGAGTTAGTGAGATAATCTGCCAAATAAATATTAGGCACCACTGTAGTCGTAAATGGGGGGGATTTTTTGTCGGAAAAAGGTGTCCCTTTATTTGGCGTGTGAGCATAGCCTTTAAATGTCTCTGAAATAAGGAGTTGGCAGCCCCACAGCTGGGCCCAGCAGTTGTACATGTTGGCCCCTGCAGGGGCTAAGCTGTCGTACCCTAGAGTGGCAAGCCTAATTCCATGCGCCCCTAAACATGATGGGGCTCTGCGGATGTGTGCAGCGTACGGTTGTAGGCCGCGTGAGTTAGGGGGCACCTGTGAATAAAAACATCTGCTTAGCAACAGAATAATGCCACGCATCCCCCCCCCCCCCCCCCCGGCCACCACAGGCTCAGTAAGAGTCAGATTCTGTTGCAGCTGCGTGTTTGTGTTCTGAT